GGGAAGCCTCTGCACGCACCTGTGAGGCGCACGAGCCGCCTTCCATCCCCTCAGCCCCAGTCCGCATTCCCCTGCGCTGGGTGTGCGTGGCAGGCGCAAGCCGGGGCTGCTGATGCAAAATCTGCTGAGGCCCCCGCTTCTGCGCGGGTGCTAGCTCGCCCGGCTGCTCTGAATACATCACAGCACTGGACAAGGTCTGCTGCGTTTTTCTCTCAGTGCCCTGTGGTGCATGCAGGGCAGGAGCTCACAAGAAATTGCTGTAATTGTGCCCGTGTGTCCTGTGCTGCATGCAACTGGCTGCTGCAAGTGTTCCTTTGCCTCCCACATGTCAAGCTTAGGCCAGTGCATGCAGTAAATGTCCTTGTGCTGTGCATTACATGCAAGTCAAGAGCTAGCAAGAATCTGCTGCAAATCTTCCAGTGTACCCTACTGAGCATGAGGCATAGAGGCCAGAGGGCATATATACAGTAATTCCAAACTTAACATGTGCCCGCTTAACACGTTTTCGCAATAGCACGATTTTTTTTTAGGGAACATTTTTCGAACAACACGACCGTCCCCGCAATAACACGATTTCCCCGAGCGGCTGGCTGGTCACCGGCAGCTGTGCGGAGCTTCCCCTGCCTCCTTGCAAAGCAGCGGGGTTCGCAGCTGGCCAGCTGTTCCTCTGCGACCCCCTCTAGCCAAATGCCTTGCTCCCTCTCTTCTGCCCCCTGCTTGCAGCCAGCGGCTGGGTTTCCCCAGCTGGCTGGTCATGGGTAGCTGGGTGGGGCTTCCCCTGCCTCATAGGCGTGCACACGGGATGTGCCGGGTGTGCATAGGCACACCCTAATGTTTCAAAGGGCCGTGGTGCAGGGGCGCAAGCCCACGCACTAGAAGGAGTGCCACTTTGGCCCTCTGGGGAACAGGAGCCATACTGGGTTTGCGCGACTGCGTGGTCAAAACCAGCAGGGCTTAGGACCCCACAGAAAAGGCGACAGGGATGCAGCAAGTCACCCCGCAGTGAGTTTAAAACCCGGGCGGGAAGGTGGGGGAGGGGAGGAAAGAGTAGGAGAGGTAGGGGGTGCCCCGGGCAGGTGATCGGGTGCAGCGGGCTGGCCCAGGGAGGAGAGGAGGGGAGGGAGTCGAGTCAGGAGCAGCGTGGCCGGCCCCGGAGGGGGGGGGTCGGGTTGGGAGCAGTGCGGCTGGCCCGGGAAGTGGAGGGGGGGCAGGGGCAGTGGGGCTGGCCCCCACCCCCACAGATCTGCTTCCCATCCCCCCTTTCTCCTGGCCAGCCCCATGCTCCTCGACCCCCCCCAGCTCTGTTTCCTGCGCCTCCTTCCTTCCGGGACCCCCTTTCCTCCCGGCTAGCCCTGCGGCCCCTGACCTCCCGCCAGATCTGCTTCCTGCCCCCCTTCCTTCCAGCCAGGCCCGCCCCCACCGGCCAGTCCCTCTCCCCTCCCCCCCACGATCAAGTGTGTCCTTTTTTGGGGGGAGTCTACCTGGTAACCCTACCAGCTGCAGAACATGCTCAGGAGCAAGGACAGGGCTTTTCTTCCCCAAAGCGTCAGACTCAACTAGAGGCTCCCAGCGCTGATTGTGCCCCACCTTCTAGCTACTTCTCCTGCTGCCACCAGGCTTCAGTCCGGCGCCCAGCCAGAAAACCAGGAAATACCGGACATTGCACAGGTCCAGTATTTTCTGGATTTTTTTACTAGACAGAGGGCCCCAAAACCAGACTGGTAAAAAACTGGACACCTGGCAACTCTGCGAGTCGGACCCGGTGCAGGCACCAAGTGATGGGGACTGCCGGAACTTTGGGAACCAGAGACTGCGGGGTGGGGGTTTGTGGCCCAAAAGGAGGCCAGAAGAGTGAAAGTCAGGGCGACCCTAGAACTCTGTTACATACCAGCTGGTGGCTGCTGGAGGAGGAGGGAAAAATAGGGGGAAAGTGTGGGAGAGGAAGGGGCTTGTGCTGAGAGGAGGGGGGCAGGTCAGGAGAAGAAAGGGGAAGGCACCAAGAGACAGGGTGGAAGAGAGAAACAAATGCCAGGGGGCCAAGTGGAGACAATGAGAAAAAGAGCAGGAGGTGAGGTGTCAGTGAGAGGGGGGACAGGATGATTCTGGGAGAGGAGAGGGGAAGAGCTTTGGGGGCTAGAGGGGAGAAGGGAAGGTGCTGGGAGAAGGTTTGAAAGAAGGGGTGGGCATGAAGAAGGCGGGATGGAGCAAGGCATCTGTGAGGGAACAGAGGCAGAGGGTGGTGAGGGGGTGGGCATCAGGGAAAAAGAGGGCAAATGGTGCAGGGACAGTGTGGCAGGTGGAGGGGGGCAGGTCTCAGGAAGGCTAAGGGCAGTGAGAAGGGCAGGAGTCAGGACAGCAGAGGTGGGGGAGGAGTTGGGGGGGTGGGCAGCAGGCACCAGGGGAGCTGATGGAGCAAGGGGAGGAGACAGGGCAGCAGAGGAAAAAGGTAGAAGTTTATAAGATATTTATTAATAACTTGGGTGCCACAGTGGCACATCCAAACAAGCCACAAACAGTACTGGTGCACAACACAAAATTTATTCTGCTCATGGGAGGAAACTCTTAGAGGGACACTTTCCCCAGCCTCTCTGTCCCCCGAGTTAATGTCACACACACTGGGTTCATGCAGTTTCAGGATAGTTGCATGAGGGGGGTTTGGTGGGGGCCAAACTAATCCCTATTGGTAGGAGGATGGTGGGAAAAGTCCTTAGAAGGGGGGGTCACATGACACCTTTTACTTCTGGTCATGGGTCCATATTGCCTTGAGAGTGTTACCTCCAGAGGCGTGGCTAATGTGAGTCAGGGGGTGTGGCTAATGGGGGTCAAAGAGTACATTTTAAAAAAATTCTTTGGGTGCACACCCTAATGAAACATGCTGCGCGCACCTATGCCCTGCCTCCTTGCGTCCAGTGAGGAAGGGTCACCGGGGAACAGCACAGCCAGCTGCGAACCTCCACCGCTTTGCAAGGAGGCAGGGGAAGCCCCTCGCAGCTGCTGGCGACCAGCCAGCTGGGGAAACCCAGCCACTGGCTGCAATCCCCCTCCGCTATCCTGCTCTTTCCTTCCCCAGAGCCAAACACCTCCCCTCCCTGCTGTAACCCAGTGCCCTTTCTCCCCCAACCTTATGTCCCGGTCCCTACAGACACCACAGCTTGAAAACGCAACCCCCACCTTTTCCATTATTTTCAATGGGAAAATTGACTCCGTATAACACGTTTTCACTTAACATGATCATTTTCTGAAACATCTCTATAGTGTTAAATGAGGAATTACTGTACTGCATAAACTTGATGATAATGTCAACTTACAAGCAAACACAGTCAGTCAGGGCCAGGCCACCATGGGTGTGGCAGAATGGGGCTGGGCCACCACAACAGCAACGGGGCTGCAGGTTGGAGGGCAGAGTAGGGTGGGGTCTGGAGTAGGCCCTCCCCTGGCTGCTGCAGGTCCATGTTTTGTGCAGCTTCCTTGAGCACAGAGGGATCATTGCGCCCGAACAACAAAATTTTATCAACAAAAGTGCTGGTGTGGACAAAGCCCTAACTCCGTAGGAAGTCCCCAGTGGAGTAACAGACCAGGCATTTCAGGAAGCTCACCAGCTGTTCAGGGGAGGGGAAGAGCAGCCCACATGCTTCCTGAGACCTGGGATCCCCAGGTATTGGCCACAGCTGTCTCTGTCCCCTTCCCCTGGCAAGACCCCCCCCTCCATGAGTACTCTGCCCCAGCACCCAGCACCCTGGCCTGCCCCAGCACCCTGTCCGCTGTCCCCACCAGCGCAGTTGGGGCCACATTAGTGAGACTTGGGAGGTTTTGGAGTGGTTTTTTGTTTGCGTCTTACTTGTGTGGCCCCGACTGACTTTTCTGTGGATCAGTGACCCCTGACTCAAAACAGGTTCCCCGCCCCTCTCATAAATAAAGGCAATGCTGAAACATTTTGTGTTTGACATAATATTTTATTTAAAAATGAAGCCTGGCCAACAAGCCCCCATCTGGCCGCAGCATCATAACACTCCTGCACGCTCCCCAACTCCAAACCTGAGCCTATCATACACTGGAAACCCTTGTCCTGAGCCTCTCACATCCCCAAACTCCTGCACCCCCACATTCCCAGTCTTCTGCCACAACACTCCTGCACCATCCACACACTGCAAATCTGTGTCCTGAGACCATCAGATTCCCAGCCTCCCTGCCTTGAGGGATCATACTCATGCACCCCAGCCCAAACTCCTGCACCCTCACAGCCACAAGCCTGTGGCTTTCTCCGCACCCCC